CTTCTGTGGGCAGGGGCGGGGCTAGCCCATGCGAGGGGCGTGGCTCCTGTGGGCAGGGGCGGGCTTCTTGTGCTCTGCCGCATCCAGGTATGCTTCTTCTTCGTGGAATGCCTGTTGGCGCTTTCCACCCATTTTCTTATTAGGTTGTTTATCTTAGTAATTGTAGGCACAATTACACACTGTGGTAAGAGCCCTTTATAGGCTGCATGTTTTCCCAGACTGTGGCTCACCTGGCCATGATCTCCGAGTATCTTAACATGAGCAGCAGTTTTTATGATCACGGGTTGAAATGTTACTTTTCAAGTTTTTTTTCTTCTTTGTTTTAGGTCCAGGATTGAGACTTGAACTCTGTACCTGATGCTTTCATTCACTGGCTAGTGCCAATGGTTGAAGCCATGCCTCCAACCCCGTTTGGTTTTTTTTGTTGTTGTTGTTAAATTTCTTTATGCATTTCTTTGTGTCCTGTCTAGAAAACCCTTTGCTCACCCCCCCTTTTCCCCTCAGAAGTTTTTTTGTATAAGTGTGATGTGCAGTGCAGCCTGAGGTAGCGGTAAAGTTTATCACCAGCACTTTTGTGTGGAAGACTTCCCTTCTCTGGTTGCCTTGACTTCTTTGTCAAAATCCATTGAGGAAGAAAGAAGGGTTCATTAGAAGAAAAAAAGCGAACTGGCAAATTCAGTACAGGTTCTACTGGCTGTCCACTGCTAGATTTAACTATCCATGTTCCACTGGTGATTTTACATACATGCTCATCAGAGACATCATCTAAATACTTCCATGAAGGATCTTTATCAAACTTCTTCTCAGGGCTGGGAATGTGGGTTAGTGGTAGAGTGCTTGCCTAAACATGCATGAAGCCCTAGGTTTGATTCCTCAGAACCACATACACAGAAAAAGCCAGAAGGGGTGCTGTGGCTTAAGTAGTAGAGTGCTAGCCTTGAGGAAAAGCAGCTCAGGGACAGTGCCCAGGACCTGAGTCAAGCCCCAGGACTGGCAAAACAACCCCCCAAACAAACAAACAAACAAAAAACAACTTCTGTTTGGTATCTACCAAGTTCGAATACAAGTGGTTTCTTTTTCCATTTTCTTACAGAATTTGCTCGTTCCTTCTCAGTATTTGCTAACATTCACCAGTGAACTGTCTGCAGCCATAGTTTTCTTTGTAGCAAGTTTTCCAATAATTTAGTTAATTTTTGTTAAATATATAACATTCAGCTGAGCGCTGGTGTCTCATGCCTGTAATCCTAACTACTCAGGAGGCTGAGATCTGAGGATCATGGTTCAAAGCCAGCCCGGCAGGAAACTCTGTGAGACTCTTACCTCCAATAAAAAGAAAAAAAAAAAAAACAGGAGAAAACCAGAAATGGTTCTGTGGCTGAAGTGGTAGAGCTTTGAGCTGAAGAGTACAGGGAGAGTGCCCAGGCCCAGAGTTCAAGCCCCATGATTGACAAATAAAACAAAACAAAAAATATATCTGACATTCACATTTTCTTTTTCATTTTTTGAATATTGGAATATGTTGTGTTTTTGTTTTTTATTTTTTTGTCGGTTGTGGGGCTTGAATTCTGGGCCTGGGCACTGTCCCTCAGCTCTTTAGCTCAAAGCAAACACTCTACCACTTGAGCCACAGTGCCATTTCTGGTTTTCTAGTGGTTAATTTCACATAAGAGTCTCATGGACTTTCCTTGGGCCAGCTTTGAACCTCAGTCTGCAGATCTCAGCCTCTTGAGTAGCTAGGATTACAGGCATGAGCCACCAACGCCTGGCTTATATTGTGTTTTTATAAAAAGGACTCATAAGTTGGTGCAGTGAGTCGTGCCTGTAATCCCAGCTACTCAGGAGGTGAAAATTGGGAGGATTGAAGTTTGTGGCAAAAAGTGAGACCCCCCACTCAATAAAAAGCAGGACATTGCCAGGTGCCAGTGACTCATGCCTGTAATCCTAGCTATTCAGGAGGCTGAGATCTGAGGATCTCGGTTCAATGCCAGCCTGGGGAGGAAAGCCTGTGAGACTCTGATTTCCAATAAACCACCAGATAACCGGAAGTGGCACTATAGCTCAAGTGGTAGAGCGCTCACCTTGAGCTGAAGAGCTGAGGGACAGTGCCCAGGCCCTGGACTAGCCTTGAACTGCCATCTTCCTATCTCCGCCTCCTAAGTAGCTGGGATTACAGATGTGAGCTTTCATAGATTTAAAATTTCCCAAATCTTTGCCATTTTCTATCTTAATAATGTGCTATTTATTCCATTGTAGTTAAAACACAGATGTACCCTATATGGCTCCACTCTTTTGAGATGTACTGAGACTTGCTATCTAGAATTTCTATTTAGTGATTTTTGTTTTTGTTTTTTTTTGTTTTGTTTTGTTTTTTTTCCTCTTTGGTGATACCAAGGTGTGAACCCAGAGTGCTTTAGGCAGGTGCTCCAGCCCCGGAGCCACGCCCTCAGCTGGTTCTTTTGAAGTTTGTTGCTTGCTAGAGATTCTTCTGTGTTCATTCCTCTTACACAGATTCCTTTCCCTTGCTCCTGTGTGCCCCCTGCTGGTGACGATGCCTATCTTGCTCTTGAGCAGAGGTTGCCTTTTGCTGCTCCTTCTGGCAGTTGGTGGCGAGACTGATTTTGAAACTCACATGTGGCGGGCAGCTCTCCCCTTCCCCGTCCCTACCTAGCTTCCCAGCCCATTCCCATTTCCATTCTCCATCCTTGAGCCGCTGGCTTCCCCTACACTTCTGCTCTCTCCTCCCAGCTGTGTGCTTTAGCCAGTTGGCAAAGATTATTATGGACTCTGTAGGCAGATGTGGGGCTCACCCCTTGTAGATGTCTTTCTCTTCCAGGGATCCCCAGCACCCTGATCTCTGTCCCCTGACAGCTCAGGGCCCCAGGCTGCTCTGTGTCCATTGGGTCATGCTCCTGGCAGAAGGCCACAAAATCACTGCCCCCTAGAGGACTCAGGGATGGTACTTGTCACTGGACCAAGATTCTCAGTGATCCATTCCCCCATGATTGGCAGTGATCCCCTGTGATCTCCCGCAGTGATCCATTCTCCCATGATGCCCTGTAGTGATCTATCCCCCCATGATCCATAGTGATCCCCCGCAGTGATTCCCCAGGGCCCTGAACTGGGGAGCAGGCATCTCCCCTAGGACTTGGGCTGGAGCTGCATCATTCCCACATGCAGCACAGGACCTGGCGTCTGTCAGGCCGGCTTCCCCTGCGCTCTGTGGACTTTCAGGACTCCACAGGTATCTGACTATCTGACCATCAGATGCTTGCTTTTGCTCCTTGGAGCCACGCCTCCATTCCCCTCTGTAGTCCTGGTCCAGTGAAGCTATTTCCCACACACACACACCACCATGCACTAGACTGCAGCAAGGGCTGCAAGACCCCACCAGGTTGGACCCGGGTGTGGGGGAGAAGAGGAGGGAGGGAGAGGGGGCCCTGGCCCCTGGCAGGGCAGGGGGTGGGGGGGAGGGGGAGGGAGATCCCAGCATGAGAGAGTGGGTGCCGCCACCACCACGGCGTAGCTCTAGTGCCATCTAGCGGCAGGAACTGCGTGGAGCACACAGTGGAAGGTGCAGCTTGGGCAGAACAAGTCAGGGGACATGTCCACCACACCTTCAACACACCCCCTTTCTGATCTCCTTGGGAAAATTAGTATTTGCCCTCCTAGCAGCTTCACTTCAGGTTAAGAAGAAAAAGAAGGGTTGGGAATGTGGCCTAGTGGTAGAGTGCTTGCCTAGCATGCATGAAGCCCCGGGTTCGATTTCTCAGCACCACATACACAGAAAAAGCCAGAAGGGCGCTGTGGCTCAAGTAGTAGAGTGCTAGCCTTGAGCAAAAGCAGCTCAGGGACAGCACCCAGGCCTTGAGTTCAAGCCCCAGAACTGGCAAAAAAAAAAATAGAAAAAAGGCTTTTGCTAGGCACTGCTGGCTCATGCCTGTTATCACAGCTACTTTAGGAGGCTAAGAATGGGAGGATTGCAGTTTGAAACCAGCCAGGACAGAAAAGCTCACAAAACTCCTTCTCAACCTATAGCTGTGTCCAGTGGTGCACCCCTGGCACCCCGGCTATGGGAGAAGCTACGATTGGGAGGATCCCACCCTGGGGACAGCACAGAGCTAGGACCAGGATACATGATCACAAAGACCACAGGCCTGGCCACAAAGCTGCCTCTCCCTTAGGTCTCCCGCAACCCCATCATCCTCCTGCATCTGCATCTCCAGGCTTCCTGCCTCTGGTGGCTTTTTAATATAGGATTTTTTTTCTTTTCTCCAAGTACTGAGCTTTGAACTCAGAACCCCAGCTTGCTTGTTCCACTGGCCCTCTACCACTTGAGCTACGCTTCCAGCCTAGCTTTTTGCTAGTTCATTGGAAATAGGTGAGGAAGGGGTGTCTCATGGACTTCTCTATTTGGAGAGGCTTTGGACCACAGCCCTCAGATCTCAGCCTCTTGGCTGACTTGGATTACAGGTGTGAGCCCAACTTGGTCTAGAACAATTAACTTTATTTGAGAGGTGTCTGTTCCTACAGCAGAGAAATCCACATTCGTCCTGTCATGGGACTACAGATTTCTTTTTTTTTTTTGCCAGTCATGGTGCCTGAACTCTGGGCCTGGGCGCTGTCC